GATCTTACTGTGAAGAACCCCCTTCGCCCCTTGTGCTGGAATTTTTTTTCCACCAATTTTAGGTGGTGGCCTCTAGTTTTTTTAACGGAGTTAATTTTAAACAGTTTATCGCTAATGTTGCTACCACCATTGAACATTTTGTACATGGAGATCATATCCCCCCTTAATCTCCTCACCTCCAATGTGAACATGTTTAAATTTAGTAGCCTTGTCTCGTAGCTCTGGTCCTCCATACCCCTAATTAGTTTGGTTGCCCTCCGCTGGACTTTTTCCAACTCAAGGACATCTTTTCTTAGTACTGGTGACCAGAACTGGACCGCGTACTCCAGATGAGGTCGAACCAATGATCTATAAAGTGGCAAAATTATAGACTTGTCCCTGCAATACATCCCCTTTTTAATACAGGACAAGACCCTGCTAGCTTTGTTTACAGCAGCCTGGCACTGCAAACTACCTTTCAGTTTGTGGTCTACAATGACCCCCAAATCCTTCTCCATTTCTGACTTCCCCAGCGGCATACCCATAATTGTATAACCCATTTGTTTATTTTTAATTCCAAAGTGCATTACTTTGCATTTATCGACATTAAACCTCATCTGCCACATTAATGCCCACTCCCCTATTTTATCCAGGTCCTCCTGTAATGTTATAGTGTCTAAGTCCGTGTCTATTACCCTCCCTATTTTGGTGTCATCCGCAAACACGGAAATATCGCTGTTAACACCCTCCCCGATGTCATTAATAAATAAGTTGAACAATATGGGACCCAGCACAGAACCCTGGGAAAAGATTGATGTACATAGTGTTGTAGAGGATTCTCTGATAAGGGTTTACCAGGAAGTTTAACTCTCTATTACTGTCATTCTATGAATGTATGAACCTCTTGGCTCTGACCTTTTGTAGAGACAATTCAGATGTTGGTAGCAGCAATTCTGTTTCCTGCATACCTAGTGTAACGATAGATGGATGCTGCATAAATAAAAATTGTTTTGTAATTTACAAAGTTCTGTACAGCTTAGTACTCACAGTTGTCACATAAATGCATGCAGTTGTAAAGTAATCTCTGCCCACAACTCTTACATTCATACTGTGATTCTATGCAAAGGGTTCCTTGGTACAGGAAAATGCTGAGATGCTGTTAGTAGGCCTTCTGAACGCCTATCCTAAATCTATATGAAGCCACACTGCCACAACAAGGCTCTTCGGTATGGTTTGGTTGCTAACTCTGAACGATTGCCCAAACTGGGACATAAATATAGCAATAACTGACTTTGGAGGTAACGCTTCCTACGTAAAGACAGACCAGAAGTCCAGACTCAAGCCCAGCCAAGTCACCTGAAATCTCCCAGTGTGCATCTGTTCTTGTTGCTTGCGGTGCAAAAACCCATTTGCTGACCCATTGAGTTGTACTATATATATATATATATTGAATATTACATGATCTGCTCTATCATACACTGGAATCTGCCCTTGTAGGGTGACCATTAGGCCCTGCATCTTGCACAGTTCTCCTGGTGACTATCATTCCCATCTCCTCAATTATTGTTATGTAGTATATTTCTAAACTCTTCCACTGAGGAAGCAAACCAGCTCAGAGGATCGGATGAGTATAACTTTTTTTTGGATTTTCCTCCCTAGAACAAAATGAACAGTTAACCCTTGCACTGCAGGGGTAGCCCCACTGCAAGGGTTAATAAAAATGTTGCCCGGAGTTGTTCTTTAAAGCAATCTTCAGCCAGGAATGCTAGTGCATTTGATGGATTGAATTGTCTCACTGGTATGTAATCCTGATTCTGAAGCAATCTTAGTATCTGCCGTCACAGGGGACTAGTTGCCCTTGTAACCCACATTTTACTGATGACTCAGACCTTGGTGTGTTCCCCTAGTTGTAGCACTTCAGCTCTTCAGCCTTTTAAGAGAACTATGATCATTTGTTCCCATCTGTCTGCATCCCTTGAGAAAGACACTTATTTTCCTTGCCACCAGAGAAGAAGGCAATCTATCAGCCAGACTTGTAATATAACTCTGCGTGTGTGCATTTGCTTTCTTTCATGTATATCCTTTTATTCTCCTTTTCCTCTAGGCCGTATGCTGAATGATTGGTGGATAACTGTATTGTGATCCATCTTGAATGCCGGGCTGCATAATTTCCAGTTGATATTTAATCTGCAGGGCATTTTATCATAGCATTTAATGCTGCATTAGATCCTCATCGATGACTGCCACATATGCTTGTCAATTACTCATGTGCAATGTGTTGGCAGTACCCTGTTTCTCAGTTTCAGCCATGACACAGGCTGTTATCAACTGAGGTAGGCAGGGAAGGCAAAATACTCCATCAGATGAATTGTAAATATGATGCTTCTCGTATTGATACAGCACATTTCACCAACCCTGCTTTATTTCTGTTGCGTTCAGTATGCGTTATTTAAAAAAAAGCTGGCGGAAAGTAGATTAACGGGTTACTAGGAGGAACATCTCCAGAGTACATGTGCTGAAAAGCAAATGGGATCTAATGCTTTTCAAATGCAGGGTATTAGAGTGTTTTTCTCTTCTACAGTATATGGACGAGGTGAACATTAAGGCCTTGTTCACACCACGTGCGTTCCAGGAGCAGAGCAAAACTGCGTCCAATGTATTCCAATGGTATTTTTAGCTCCAGTTCACATCGCAGCGTTCCATTCCAGAGCAGGTAAAAAAAACTGCAGCATACCCTATTTTACCTGCTCTGGAACGCATAAAAAACGCATGCAAACGCCCTGAAAGCCCATTTTAAAATACAAAAATATGTTTTTTAACCAAAAACGGCCCGGAACGCCTCAAAAATGCAGCACGACCCACTGCACTGCGTGTGTAGAAACTCATGCAGATCTGCTCTGCATTTGGTGTGAACAAGGCCTAAGGGTTAGTTCATAGCAGATCGGCAGGCATTCATTTTCTTGCCTCCTTCCAGCTCAGGTACCAAGTATGGCATGAAAAAATCCATTGTGTTCCCACCAGTGCATTTTGTTACAGTGCATAGACCAATGTTTTCCTGTTAAGTTTGATCGAGGTATTTAAAAAATGCAGCACAACTCATCTGAATCTTATGCCAGTGCAATACATACTAATCCATGTGTACTGGAGTAAACAGTCTCTTACTACTCATTGTGGTTTGTACTGTAGGCACATTAGGCAGCATTAATATGGTAATTTAGACTTGCTGCCCTAATATTCTGAAATGGCTTCAGTTCAAAAATTGTAAAACATTTTGTAGCAAATTGTTAGTGGTTGATATGTGTTGACTATTGCTGACATGTAGTCTTTGTGAAGACTGTTCTTATGAGGCAGGTTACTCATATGGAAGCACTGTGTCCCTTTATAATTGGAGCAATAGTCAATGTACAGCTTTGCTGTCTCCAGGTTTTGTAGGCAACATGTTTAAAATACAGATGAATTTAAAGCAGAATTATAAGGAGAGGGAACAATAGGTTGGATTTGATGGACTAATGTCTTTATTCAACCTCAAATACTATGTAACTATATAACTATGGAAATACACTCATCCCCATAATTGGAGCCGACGTGTGGCACTGAAGCTGCAGCATGTCAGCTCTATAGCTCAAGAACTGAGCGATCACATGACGCTGATCTCTCAGTTCCTGATCTTCTCCCTGCAGAGAGGGGTGACTGTCAGTCACTGCTCCCTGCAGGGATTCCCACCCTCCCCGCTCCAATCCTGCAGCACTGACTGATGGGACGGGTTGGGAGAGGGGTCAGGCACAGCTGGCTCTGGCGAGACAGAGCTAGGGGTCAATCGGGAAGTGGGGTGGACGATATTGTGGGTATCTTTCCCGGCCACAACGTGGCTCTGCACTGTTAGCATGTAGCAGGCAATGGCCGCTATTTTCTGAGCTTATGGGTCACAGGACATAATGTCCTCCTGTGACGCGAAAGAGAACTAAAGCCAAAACCGGTTGGGCCATAGTTCTCTTTAATGCAGTTTTCTGGAGTAGGTCTACTTCTTACAATCCCTTGTAAGTGACAGCAGGGTCTTTATTTGCTTGACTTAGGAGGCTAACACACACACACACGCACGCAGGACAAATCCAGGTCACCATGATGACTAAAAAATGCTGCCTGGTGACCTGGTTATTGAAGTCCCTATTTGCAGCTTCAATGACCTGAACTTTCATCAGTCACCTAGGACAAGTGTGTCTGTGTCAGTAGCCTAGTGTCTTGTTTGGCTCAGTGAGGTGCATAGCTATAAATGTGTGCAGCTAAGGTCTTTGTATGGGTGAATGTCTAAGCACAAAACAATTGTTACAATGTGTTACTTGTGTGTGCGCACAGGGTATAATGCGCATCAATTACATGTGTTTGTTGATGCAGGGGATAATGGGCATCTGTTAGATGTGTGTGTGCGCGCAAGTATGCAGTGGACACGGTTCATCAGTTATGTGTTTGTGTGCACACAGGGTACACTCTGCATCCACTATCAGTGTGTGCATGCAGGGATCACTATGCGTCAGCTATGAATGCGTGCATGCAGGGATCACTATGCATCAGCTATGAGTGCGTGCATGCAGGGATCACTATGCGTCCGCTATGAGTGCGTGCATGCAGGGATCACTATGCATCAGCTATGAGTGCGTGCATGCAGGGATCACTATGCATCAGTTACAAATGTTTTGCGCAAAGGGGACATTGTGCTTCAGGTGTGTGCACATGCTGGGAACACCATCAGTTGTGTGTAGTGGCAGTGAACATCATACATCAACCCTAATGTGTGCATGTGTGATTGTATATATGTGTAAGCTGAGATGCCAGCTTGCAGTGAGGTAGTCTATCATTATAGATCACTTTTGTGGCTAGGGGATTCAATGTTGATCTTTTACTATCGAGTGCAAAACTAGATATGACTTTAAATTAGGTAAAAGTAGAAACTTTCATGATGATAGAACTTGTGTTGACCATTGATGTATCTCCATTGTAAGCATGTTGTTGTTTTTGTCTTGTAGGATCTGGAGATAGTTTACTCATACCTGCATGGAATGGAAGCACTATCAAATCTACGGGAGCATCAGCTGAGGTAAGTCAGCCTTCCATTCTAGAAAGAAAAAACCCTGCTTGGTGTCTGTGATATTCCAGAGCATTTACAACAATTGACATATAATCATATGTTTGTGCTAAAAGCAAAACTCTGGAATTTTCCGTCTCCTGTGCTCTTTCCAGTGTTTTGGATGCTCCTTTACATTGTCACTGGCTGAATTTTCCAAACATTCCAATATATTCTTTTGTAGAACGGAATGCTGCAGCCTTGCATTAAACTAAAGCACTTGGCAGTCAAATTCTTACCAGAGATATTCACTGAGAAATCATTTGGTTGACTGTGATGACCATATCTGAGGCTTTAGTCGCAGTTGTAATACTCTTGAATAAAACAGGAGATACTGATCATACACACAAGCTTTAATGGACATGGAGTAAGCTTTAGGACAGGCAAGCCTTCCGGAATAGCAATGGCTGTAGGATGAAAAAAAAGTCAACACGGCAGTCTCTGTTCCATTTGGTAACAAACAAACCTTTGTCTATATTCACCTGTTTGACGCAATACAGTCCTTGTGCCTCTGAAAGGGCTTTCTTGTACAAGGAGTAATAATAATGAAAATTCTCTCTGGCCTACATGATTTTGTCTGTCAGATAGCGAATGAAGACTGCATACAAATATGAGCCGATATTTCTACCTTTAACATCATTTGTCTTTTCATTTTCTCTACTGCAATTACACTGAAAACACTAGAAAAGATTTGGCTTTGCTGGGACACAAAATTATATATAATCATTGCATGTAATTAAAGGCACTGCGTGGGTTGCATGAGTAATTTGGCAGGTTCCATTTTATTTTGTTACCTGGCATAGTATTCGTCTCTTAAACTGTCTCCGTTAATTTGCTTCTGCTTTCTTTACCAACATGCTGTAATCATTTTAACATGAAGTCATTTGTAGACATTGTTGGATGATGTTGTACATTATGTATTTGCTTGCACTACATCAAGGTCTCTAAAACTCCGTTTTTATGTGGACGCTTTGTGTTTTGCCTGGGTTTTTAGTATTAAAGGGTTCTTGTCAGTTTGGCTGATGACCTTCATGTCCAAGACTCCCACGCAATGCTGGAGACGGTCATTTCCTAAATCGTAGAAGAAGAGAGACATATCACTTCACATAATCCTACAGAGGTTGACTCTGCTCTAGAACCCACCTCAAACATTTAATCAGTGGCAGCAAGTAGCACTGTCTGGGGGCCTTGCTTCACGACAGATATCCGTTTCTATTAGAAATCAATAAAAAAAAAGTGAATTCTGCTTCGCAATTCATGTTAAACGACTGTTGTCGTCAAAAGTGCATGTATAGGCAAAAACGTTTTTGGGTGGGGATTAAACAGGGAAAGGTTAAAACCCCTGTCATTTCATTTGTTTGCTGTCTGTATCCTGTTTGGGAGATTTCCCTTTACACTGGCCATACACTATTTTATTTTTTTCTTTCAACCAGTGGGCCAACAAATTATAGAACAGATTCCTCCGTCAACGCTATGAGTGCCGTCTGCTGACAGAATACCCAAACGGGGCACGCAGCTCATTGGCTGCCGGCTCTGTTTGTTCAAAGATTTTCCTACCGGCTCCTTCAATCTGCTGATCAGGGGATGCTGGGCAAAAGGGTGCCATCAGCGGCGGCCACTGTGCCAAATTTAGCCGGTTCCTAAAGAACTGGACGAAATTTGCATAATGTATGGCCAGCTATACTTACTGTCCTGGAGATGTAAATTTCTACAAAGTGACAGTATTTCACCTTTTAAATAGTTGTCCTCCTTGAAAGATTTGCCCTCACCTCTTGTTCTGTTGACAACTTTAAAGTTTTGAATTCCCAATCACTTTCTGTCACAGTGGAAATGGTCACCAAATCGAATAGAGAGGGTGAATCTACCTAACGGAGACAGCAATAAAATCTTGATAAGTTCTAGTACTCGTGTTTGGCCACAAATTGTGCGTCTATACATACACTTTAAAGAGCACTTATACTTAAAATGAATGAACGTATCACTAATGTAGTAGCAGGTGAGTTCTTTATTTGCTTTGGGCACAATTGCATTCACTTTAGTATTTTCCACGGTATGGCCATCCAAGTTGCAAGGCCCAGCCCTGTTCTGAATGGGGATATCTAGTGCCATCACGTCACACTGTACTGCAGCATTATTGCTCTGTCATGAATGTATATATTTTTTGAGGTGTTCATCAAATTTGTTGTTAGTTTCAATGAATGTCACAGAGCCTTATCAAGATCGTATACATGCACAGTGCTACAGGCCAGATTTTATCAGGTCATGAAATTCTAAAATGACCTTCAATTTCCCTTCTTTTTTGGAGGGAAGCCACCACAATAGCCAAATATTGTTATTGGTACTAGCCCTGGCTATTACACTGGGGTCCAGAGTTCAGGACACTATGTGCAAATAGATGGTGTTCTCTGTGTTCCTGGTGATCCGTTTTTCTCCAACAGTTTACAAGCATAAACATAGACATGTGAATTGGAGGTACATTAGATTGTACGGTGTTCAGGAGCTCAGACTGATGTAAATGGGTAAATGTCAGTTAAAACTTTGTGGGGAAACTTTTATGGTTGTACAATTGAGTAAAATTACATTATTTCAGCAAATGGTTAGTTTTCCTCAAATAACATAAAGAAAATAATAAAAAAAAGAATAAAGAAAATGACAAGTGAGAAAATCATTTAATGTAAAACTAAATCCAATGTTGTTTTTTATTATTTAGTTTTTTGTATAGAGTAAGGGAAGGTTATAACCCTGTGCCATTGGGATGATTTCCCATTAATTCCTGTCCGATAGTTTCAACAGAAAGTGAGACTAAATCCCTCCATAGAGAGGTGGTGCTAGTGGTCAGCGGGGTCCCCAGAGTGCTATTGCCCGCATTGGAAGATTTCCCATCTATTCCAGTTTTGATGACAACCCAAAATTTGGGATTTGATTTTCACCTTAAGTAATAATGATAACCAGGACAAATGTAGAGAATGAATCTCCCTGACGAGGCCACAGGCAGCAATGCAAACCTGACAGGTTTTCTAAACCCTCTCGACTCTATCCAAAACTAATTTTAAAAAAACAGTTTGGCTTCAGTTACCTCTGAAAGTCTTAAAGTGCATTTCAGGTTTTCATGATTCCATATAGAATATCATATTGCCCAACATGGACTCAATAGGCACCATATAGATATGTCTGTCAACTAAAAAGCATCCGGTCTGTTTCCTTTCTTGTAAATGAACAGTGTGCCTTTCAGCTGACACATCTAAAATGTGTCCATGATGGGTAGTTGGCTGAAGGGTATCATAATTGATACCCTTGATAATACCTACCCTTGAGAATACTCTATCGGCCATGGAGCAGGTTGCTTGGCTGGTAGTAGACTAGGTTTTATGTAAGGCTGGAGGCAGTCTACTTCTCTTTAGTGATGCCTCCTCTTCACTTAAATGAATTGCAAACAGCCATTGCTTCCTTTTTGAAAATGATAGTTGCATGGCTGCCTTTGGCCTCAGTACTTTGGGTCACTGGCCAGGAACAAGCATAAAGTGAAGTCAAAACAAGTAAGCTGCGTAGGTACCATAGGTCATTAAAAGTAATAAAACCAGTGGACCAGCATGACAGCCTGGCAGCTAGTATTTTGGGAAGAAGGTCTTAGCAGTTACATATTTTTGGCAGTGCAGACTGTAGACATATTAACATTATTGCATCATCAGCGATGGACCTGCTAAAGTTTCAGTAATCAATCCAAACCTTTCAATGTAATAACTGTTGGCATGAGCTACATTACAACCCATATAAAAATGTCCTGGTGTATGGTTTATTCATGTGGCCTTCTTGTCCATACCAAGAGTTCTTTAAACAAAGCAGCTGGAGCTGGATGTTGGGTGCGCAGTGTACACAGTAGGATTATACTGTACACAGCAGTATTGTGTGCTCTGATGATATTTTTAGATCTCTTGAATGTTAATGTCTCTCTCTCTATTGCAGACTGATGTGTGAAACTGTCCGGTATGAAAGACATGAAGCTAATGAAGTGTTATACTAGTAAGTGCATTTTCTTCATTCTCCTGTTAAGTTGGGATTTAGATTTTTCTTTTCCTCGTAACACAAAAGGTTTGTACAGATTTATCTAAACAGAGCAGATTTTAAACACCATGTACTAGTGAACAATGGGCATTTTACTGTGCAAATCCGGGTGTAGGTGAACAAAGCCTGCATCCATTCTGTAGTCTGTAGAGATTGTTTAATTATAGGAACTTACGTCAGCCAATGGAGTGTTTCCAGCTTTTATTAGATTCCATCTCCCATAATTCTTATCTGTCATTTGTAATCTTGGATGCCATAGCTTTGGAAATGCTGCAAGCTGTTTGTAATTTTCCCATTTTGACTTAATTAATTAGGCTGAATAATTATAAACCAATGTCCTGTACTGTGTTTTGTCACTCAATGCTCTAGCTTCAAATACAGTGTGTTCATATTTAAAGATGAGCAAACTAATCTATGTTAAATTTGACCCAAATCGGATTGATTTACTTTCATCGGAATATCCACTTCCCTTCTGAGTGCAAGCAGCACAAGGACCAGGGAGCCACAATTGCTTGGTTCTCTCTATAATTAAAGAATATGAGCTTGGCTTTGCATTAGACTTTGGTATTGCAACACCTCTGTGGATAATGGAGTTTACACTCTAGTAGGTAGCTTGTCTTATGTGGAAAAACCAATTTGCTCAGCAGTTTAGGGTTAGTAAGCTGAGGGAACCTGAGAGGTGTGCGAGTGCTGTCATTACTGACCTCTTTCTGACCAAGCCTGGCTGTCTCTAACTCAGAATAAAATCAGAATTCTAAATCTGCATACTTCTTTTAGCCTAAAGAATCAAATTATTTCTTCTAGAGGATCAGCATGATAGTATTGTGATTGTTACATAGTTACATAGTATTTGAGGTTGAATAAAGACATTAGATTGTAATATCTTCCCTTTATTGTAAAGCGCTGCACAAACTGTTGGCGCCATATAAATCCTGTATAATAATAATAATAACCAGGCAACTAGCATTTTGACATTGAGAGATCACCACTGGCTGTCTCCATATCAAAGCTACTGATGACCACACAAACTGTAATGTTTAATATATTTTGTCAGTACAGGTTTCCTTTGTGGATTTGAACTTAAATGTGAACAATTGCTGTCTTATAGTGAACATCTAGAAATGTTGTGCCAAAGCAGCTCTCTGCAACATTTACATTTCTGCTTTGAATTTCTCCTGAAAAATACTTTTTTCTGTGCCTTGAGCATCATAGCTGTGCATCTGCAGTGTAAGTGGAAAGGTACTTCTGACTGCTAGTCTCACAAGATTTGGAGTGAGAGTTGGTAATCAACTATAGTAACTTTCCAAGGTGCGTCTAGCTGAGTGTCTATAGAAGTGTAGCCTTCTCGGTTCCGCATTATAAACAGTTAATCTTTTCACTCCACCAAAGCTGGCTGATATAGTAGCAGATTGGGTGTTAGAGTATGTAAAGTGAGAAACATGGCACACTGGCTTTGTGAAGTAAGTTTAGCATTTTAAATTAAATAAAAGATAAAATACTAATCACAAACATTAGCAGTTACATGCTCATCAGAGCCACAGAACCAATGTATGGCAGATCCTTAGATCTTTTTCAAGCATGAGAATCCTATAGCATCCATCAATAATTGTTAATGGCTGATGCATTTCCGGGGTCGTGACAACTATCAGGAAGCAAAGCTCTTCCGTTATGAAAATGACTGCCCTCACACAAAGACTGAGTACACAGAGCAAGTCATGGTAAGACAGTTACAGAGAAATGAGTATGACAATGACTAGTCAGGTACAACCCCTTCCATTCCCAGCATGGTTCAGGTTTTTTTTTACTAGTGTCCTAGCCTAGGATGGACCTCTTTTCTCTACTGTGAACTTTATTTTATTTGCCATTTTCTTTTTCGAGATTGTTTTTTTTCTTTAATCAAGGCTACTGAGCAGGCTGTTTATTTATCTATGTAGATCAGCATACCTTCAGCAATAGTTTGGGAGGCTGTGTCCGGACCCATTGCACAGAAAATTGCAAGACCTGTCTGGAATATGACATTTTGCACTGGACTCTGTTGTGCACTTTCCAGACCTTTGTGTCATTTGATAGTTCACCACAGAGCTCGTTCTAGGTCCAGAGCTGTGGCACAGCCTCTGCTGTGACCAAGTCTCTGAAAACTCTTTAATGAGTATGCCATGTGGTCCGAGCATCAGAAGCTACTACACGTTACTATTGAGCCCCATCATTACACCCATTTTCTGTTGGTTGGAAATGTTTAATACACTGGAAAATTAGTTGATGCTTCACTAGCTGCAGTGATACATGTCCTGCCTTTTCAGCTTGAGGTAGCATCTTCTCGCCATTGATCTAATTTGCAAGAGACACATTGTCTTTCCTTGATTAATACTTGCTGCCGCCTACCGTAACCTGGTCACCCCCAACTATTCGAGCCACTCTGGCTTTTAGCAGATGATTTCTAAGTATCCATGATTTTTGCCTAGTGTTCTCAATTAAGTTGGCTCTGTTAAACAGTTCAACATGTCCGATCCCAAGTGCAAAGGAAGCAGTTTTGCTGCATCAGGATCTCTTCAGCTCACAATCCACCGACAGTTCCATGGCAGCCTACAGTGTCCCTTCTCATGGACCTGACACTGACGGCATGGATTGCTGTCCCCTGTACGAGTCTGCATACACCTGAGTCTTCCTAGCTTTGTCAAGTATGGCCCCCTCTTCTGCCTTATTCAGGGAGGAGTTCTCCACAGCAATGCTGAGTTTTTTTTGGGGCCATATTGCAGCTTTGATTATTGGCTTTTGCAGAGGTAGGTGTGAGTGTAGTTTAATGCCTTTTCCTCGGTGGACATCAAGGATGTGTACTTGCATTGAACTATCTTTCTAGCACATCAGCTCTACCTCCGGTTTGCTGTGGGTGCTCAACACGATCAGTTTGTGACCTTACTGTTTGGTCTGTCTTATACACCCCGAGTCTACACTACGGTTTTGGCACCCATTCTAGCCTTGTGCTCCCAGGGTAACCCCATTGTGTGGAATATCTGGGCCGTATACAGCATATATTCTGACCGACAACATGATGCAGACAATCCAGACCTTAAAAGGTTTGATTGTATCCGAAATCTTCAGAAATCAGCGCTGATATTGACGCATCCCTTTAACTATGTGGATCTTGCCTTGAATATGGGTTAAACTAGATTTGTTTTCCTTAAGAAATACCTCTGACTCCCCACTCCCAGATTCCGACTGTACAGTCCAGGAACAATACAACACTTAATTCTGCATGACAGTTCTGGGCTTAATGGCAGTTCCTTTTGCTCAGTTCCACTTCAGGACCCCACGAGACAGCATTCTGTTGTTGTGGGACAAATTGGTTCAGCCTCTCCACAAATGGACTCACCTGACACCAGCAAGAGAGGTAGAAAGATTTCTAGCCTGGGGAGAGCTCCATATTCCAGCTTTGTCCAGAGATTACATTCTAGGTGTAGAGAATTAGTAGACAGGCAACCTACCACACTGTTAAAAGCTAGAAAGTCTACCTCTCACAAGGTCTAACATTGCACATGCAAGGCATGTTTCGTCTGGGGTGAGAAAATAAGATTTCACCCCAGAAAATATTCACTGGGAAGAATCCTAACCTTTCCGCAATTAAGTCTGGAGCAACATTTCTGCACATTTTGACTCTTGCGATCAAATTCCAAAGATTTTTAGCTTTCCATTAATTGATTAGGACGTTTGTACAGGGTGTCGCTCATGTGTCTCCACCTGTGTAACAACCTTGATTCTGTGGGATTTAAATCTGGAGCTCTCAGCACTTTATACACTGTCTTTTGAACCTACCAGGAATATTCTTCTTTTCACTTTCACTTATAAAGTTGCTTTCCTTGTTACCGTCTACTCTGTGAGGTGTGTGTCTCAGCTGGCAGCCTGTAAGGAGCCATTTTTGGTCTTGCATAAGGAAAAGGTGGTGTTGAGCGCTTTCTTCCTTCCTAAGGTGGTTATGGCCTTTTGCCTGAACCAGAACGTTTTTCTTATGTCTCCCTGTCTGGCTCCAGTATGCCAGAGGGATATTTCCGGATGTAGTTTGTGCTGTGCAGGTTTACCTCTCAGCCACTGCTTCCATTGGAAATAATGTTTTATTATTCCTTATGGTCCATGTAAAGGGGAACACACTTCTCGCTTACATCACTTCTCGGTGCCTCAGACAAATAATTATTTAAGCCTATGGTCTTAAGGACAAGGTTCCACCTTTTCCCATCGAGGTCTGTGAGGACTTCTTGGGCTTTTTGGCATCAGACATCTGTTTTCTCAGATTTGCAAGGCTGCCACCAGGTCTTCTGTTCACACGTTCTCTAAGATTTACCAGGTGGATGTTTAGGTCTCATCTGATGCCAACTTCGGGCATAAAGTCCTTCAGGCAGCTCCTTTAGCTGCAGGTTGCCCTAGATTTACTGTTTGTTAGGCGGCCCTGTTATTGTTTTTTTTCTTGATGCCCACCACTCAGTTGGGCTGCTTTTGGATGTTCCAGTTGTCTGCGAATTCTTAAGAAAATAAGATTTTTGTACTAATGGTAAAATCCATTTCTTAGAGTTTCCAAATCTGTAAATAGAGGAGTTGCACCATTTGTACATTGTACTGTGCGTCCCTGTCATTACCAGATTATAAATGGGCTGAAAAACTCGGCTTATACTCGAGTATATACGGTATATTGTGTTTGTCCGAATGCTTTATTTTAGGAAATTCAGTGGACCATCCTTTTATCCTTTCTTCCCAGACAATTGTTTTGTTTCCCCTCACTATGGTTAGAGCTTAGATAGTCTTCATAGGAAGAAAAAAAAATTATGAACATTTTATTTAGAACAAGGTTGGTGTGTAATCAAATACCAGCCAGGTGCATGGAGGACACTGCCTGTGGTGTTGAACAATATATTTTAAGGGAATCTATATAAAATATACTTTTTGTGCTATAGTCTTTTTGTTATTATATA